AAAGTCTGCAGTCAGAAACTTCTCCAAATTATTTAGGAGTAATATTATTTTGAAGAGTAAGTTATGCCTTATTCAGGGCATGGCCTTTTAATCACTTTATATGCATCTGAGAGCTGAACAATATAAATAAAGATGACAGAAGAATTGATGCCTTTGAATTATATTCTTGGAGAAGAGAACCATTTATCCCATGGAGCGACAAAAGAACAAACTGGTAGGTCTTGGAGAAAGTGTGTCCAGAGTGCTCCTTGGAGGCAAAAATGACAAAGCTTTATCTCATATTCTTTGAGCATGTTGCTAGGAAAGCCTATTCTTCGGAAATAGACATGTTTCAAAAGATGTAGTGTAGGTGAAAGATAAGAAGTCTCCTAATGAGAGGGATTGGCACAGTGACTGCAGCAATGGCTTCTAGCATGTCACAGACAATGGGAATGACACAACTTCTGTTGTTCATAGGGTTACTCTGAGTGGCACTTGACTCAATGGCACTTAACAAAATCAATAGCGTATAAAGATGGGGGCTTAAAACTTAGCGATGCATTAGCTGCAGTTGTTAAGTGTTGTTGAGTTGAGTAAGATTCATAGCGACCCTGTGAACAAAAGATCTGAACCCTTCTGTGTCCTGTGCCATCCTCACACTTCCCGACACTCAAAAGCCCATGGCAGTAATAATAATTATTTCAATCCATCTGATTAAGGGTCTTCCTCTCCACCAACCCTCTGCCCTTCAAAGCATCATGACTTTTTCCAAGAAATAGTCCCTCCTAGAACCATGCCCAAAGTATGTGAGGTGAAGCCTCATCATTCCTGCCTCCAAAAAACACTCTGGCTGCACCCTTTCCAAGACATATCTGTTCTCTTGGCTGTCTGTGGGATGTTCAGTGCTCTTCTCCAACACCACAGCTCAAAGGCCTCAACTGTTTTTCTGTAATCCTAATTCATTGTCCAGCTCTCAAGATGCACAGTAATAATTGGAAAGACCATGGCTTGAATTATACAGACCTTAGTTCTCAAACTGACATCAATGCTCCTCAATAATTTGGAGAGGTCCCTAAATGCAGATTTTCTCAATGCAATGTGTCTCCTTATTTCCTGACTGCTTGTACCAAGGGTGTTAATTGTGGATCCAAGCAAGATGAAACTGTTGACAGTTTCAATCTCTTCTCTATCCATCATGACATGAAATGGGAAACAATAGGACATGTTTAAATCATAGAGCAAGTAACTGGAAGATAAATAATTATAAACTATGACTTTCTGATTTTTTCTTTATTTTTCATTCTTAGGCTAACTTTCCATAAGTATGTAGCTTGAGAAACTAGATGATGAAAATGAGTTCTCTCATTGTAAGAACTACAATTGCAGGCTAATGTCCTTGTGCCTAAGTTTGTCAATGTTTTGGCTTTGAATAATATCTCTTTACACTAGATCATCATCATTCCATTGTGATAACTTCAAGAGATTAAAAGCATCTAATTTTCTTCACATCTAAAGACAAGGGAGGAGGGCATACAAAAGAGTAATATTTTTTTTATTATTAGTAAACATCATCAAGTTAACTCTGAGTCATAACCATCTTATGAACAACAGATCAAGGCATACCTGGCTTCATCCTCACATTTTCTTTTCTGTTACCACTGCGTCAATCCATCTTGAGAGCCTTATCCTTCGCTTAACCCATTTATTTTCTTATACATGACGTTCTTTTTCTAAGTACTGGTCCCTCTTGATAATATATTAAAACTTTGTGAGACAAGCGAAAATTTATTTGCCTCTATGCTCTGGTGGCCTTCGTGAATAAGAGTTGTGGTGTGAATCCAGAGGTAGGTAGTTTGAATCCATAAACTACTCCAGAGGAGAACAAAGAACACTCTCCTTATGTGTTATATGCAGCCTCTGAAACTCCACTGGAGTTATGAATTCTGCAACAGCTCTGAGCTGGTGCCAACACAATGGCAGTGAGTTGTTGTATTGCCCTCTAAGGAACATTGTGGCTTCATGTTTTCAAGACAAATTTGTTTTTTCTTTTGGTAATTCATGATTATACTCACCACTCTTGGCCAGCATGACAATTCTTCTTTAGTTTTTATTATTGGTTCATTGTCCAAAAGGTTTATGATGCAATTGAAAATGGTTTCAATCAGGCACACCTTACTTGGTCTTTAAGCTTGCTCCTTGTAGCTTTAAGGAAGTCATTGACAAAAGATTTGCCCAATACAATATCCCTTTTGGTTTCTTGACTACTGTAATCAGGAATACTGATTGTGAATTCAAGTAAACTTAAATCTTTGACAACTTTGATAATTTTTCTTTTTAGTAAGATGTTGCCAATTGGTCCAATTATGAGACTTTTTATTTTCTTTACTGAAGGCTGTGGTATATTATATATTGTGCAATCACTTTTTTATTATAGTGTGCTAGAAAAGTCCGTCATTCTTTCTCTAAAAATAAAGAAATATGTATTCCAAACAGGTAATACAAATCTGTGTAAACAAAGAAATTTTGGATTATGTGCATTTTTTCCTCTTTTTATTCCATAATGATCCTTAAATATTCTACTATTATTGTTTGGTGTACCATGGATTCAGAGCAACTATATCCATCATATTTTCAGAGGTGGTAAATTGCAATGGATGAGATTCCATCTTTCTCCTATGGAGTGATTGGTGAATTTGAATCAAGTGCCTTTTGGTTGGCAAAACAACTTCCTATCTTTATGTCACAAAGACTCCCTAAAATAGTCTGCTACGAGAGTATATCTGAGTGTTCTGCATATATAATAGGAGGATGGTGGCCCATTTATCAGATGAAGAATATTTTAATAACATTCAAATTTAAGTCTAAAAAACATAAAACTAATACTAGCAAAAGAGATAGTGTGCATTGAGGAGCTCTAACTTCAGAATCTCATGATCCTAGGCATGCTAATCTTCTGTTATCACATAGTTTCAATACCAGGTATCATTTATCATCTGTTGTGGATCAGAATACTAAGCTGCAGTTATATTTAATTTTCTTTTACCTTCAAGAATACCAAGAATGGTATGCATATTTAAGTTCTCAGTCACTTAACTCACTCACACTGGTGTCTCAAATCCACCCATGGGCACTTTAGATAAAGGTTAACACATAGTTATTGAAAAATGCAACAAAGCATAGTTCTATTAGGAAAAACTTAGTTTTCTGAAGAGTCAAAATTGACTCAAAAGCATTTTTTCCTTTTTCTACCTCTAATATGTATTCATTCTTCCAAGAGAACATCACATAGTATCAGGCTAATGGATAAGCTAGAAAAATATTCTTTACATAAAATTTAACATGGTGATACCAGAGTGAACTGTTGACATCGATTTAGTGTAGCTTTTGGAGAACAGATTTCTCCAGACACTTTCGGAGAATGTTGGGCTTGGACTCTGTAGGATGATTGTTGTTATTTAGGTACTCAGTCATTTCTTTGGAAACAAAGGAGCAACATTCATGAAAGGACTACACAGAGAACATATTCTTGGGGTCTTTGTGTCCTGTAATCCAAATGTCACCACATCAGGAGGTCATTCAAGTCCCATGGCTCCGCCAGCTCCAGGGAGGTGGCTGCCTCTTCCCGTTGCTGCGGTGTTGCTGGTTAAAGCCACGGGAGTCAGCCCATGTGAGTAGCACACCCTGTCAGATTGCAAAGTGGCAATTTTGCTGCCAGGGAGGAAACAAGGTCGTTTTACAAGAGCAGGGATAATGTACAGCAAATGTATACAGGCAAGGACCCAACAAGGACATCCAGCAAGGAGAGAGTCTAATCTAGGATATATACAAGAAAAAATAAAGGTCTCCTAAATTGTAACAACACTGAAAGAATATAAATCAAAACTAATCAGAACCTTTGAGTCAAGTCTGGTACTTTAAAATAGAAATGAGAAAATGGTAGGATGAAATAATCACTAGAATTGGTGACTGGGTGTTATTAGCAGCCCTTCACAGTGGACAAGACACCTTTACAGTCTATTCATGTATAAGTTGATACACAAAATACACTGTTCAAGAATAAAATTGGTTGCTTTATGATTTTGGGGGGTCAAAAAGTCTTAATGATAGAAAAGAACTTATAACAACCTCAAAGTTAGTAAATAGATGCTTTTAAGTGTTATCTAGGATTGAAGGCAATATTGAGTTATGTTCTAAAGTGGAAGGGAAAACACTGTAGAGTTTCTTAGATAAGAGACTGAGATATTTTAAGAAATTAGTAGTCTTCTTATTCATTTAAATGCATGTGTATATTACCACTGGCCTTTAAAATACATATTCTCATTTTTCCTTCTCATCTGTCATTCGTTTAAAATTAAAATGAATGTTTTAAAATGTAAGCTGATAATACAAGAACTCTATCAATTAATGGAGCAGATATTTCCTTGTATTATCTAATTTCCCATTTATGCCAAATTACAATGCTTCACTCCATTAGCATCCCCACTATTCTATAGGAAAATATATTACCAGGAGGCAACGTCTGAGACATGAAGAAACCTTGGTTAGTAGTAATAGCTAATTTATTGAATTATAACATAAAATATTGGATCTAAAGAAAGCAAATTCATTTTCCCCTAAGAATTTTTTACCTATTTCTTATTAAAGTAGTACTACTAGACACCACAGTTAATTTTAATATCTTACTTTACAAAGTAACCAAATAGGAAATATGCTTGATAATATAGATGATTATGCAAGTGATTTCTAGCCCTTTACCTAGGATTCCCCAAGTGATCTAAACAGTTACCTACTCAACAACCAGCCCAAAATTGGCTGTTTTTGTCTACCCTGATATACTTAGGAAGAAAGGCCTTATGATCTGTTTCTGAAAGGTCAGAACCTTTAAAGCTCTGTGGAGAAGTTTCTTCTGTACACAAGGTCATCGTAAGTCAGAATCAAAGTCGACAACCAACAATAAAATCTTATTTTCATGAGCTAGTTTTGTTTTTATTAACAACAACAGTTTTGTCTTTCTTCCACAGCATTCAGATTCCAAGTACCATCTGAAGAAGAGGATCACTTCCTTGACGTTGCCTATTGTTCCAGCCCCTGAGGCCAGCAAAGTCCTTACTAGAGGGCCTGTTTTACAACCTACTCCTACCACACCTCCAGCCCTCTCTCCAGCTGTTGGTGGCACTAGTAAAATTGACCAGTATTCCCGAATTCTCTTCCCAGTTGCATTTGCTGGTTTCAACCTTGTATACTGGATAGTTTATCTTTCCAAAGACACAATGGAAGTGAGTAGCAGTGTAGAATAGTTAGCAGATAAGATAACTTATATATACACTCTCTTTCTTGCTATTTGAAAAGATAGCATTGGAACAAATGTGGATACTTTTCAAACATAAAATAAAAGTGGAAAGCCTATGAAAAATAGTTTTGAGTGTGCATGTATGGGTCAAAAAGCAATAATATTGGCCCTCAACATTAAAAGTTGAAGATATGTGAAAAATAGTACTTTTCTGTATGTTATTGTTGATTGCCTTCGAGTCAAGCATGACTCATAGTGACCCTATGAACAAAAGGCCTGAAACCCCTTTAAAACTATTGACATTAAAGAAAAATATCTCATTTAAGAGGCCCTGATAAAGTCAAGATGAATTTGTCAACCTATGTCCATGTCCATATTGTAATGTTCTTTACGCATTAGTGGCCATACATCTGTTAAATAAGAAATGCTGAAACTTTCTGAGACTGTCTTAAAATATGTTTATTTTGGCTTTTTTTTCAAAGAGATAAAAATTATAAATCCAATCTAAAAATTACATTTTTTACTGTATTTAGAAATTTAAACTAAAAATTGCAAATAATTTATCAATAGGTTGATGTAAGCATGTTGCAGACTTTGTACTAGTCAAATGGCTTTAAATCCCATTGAAGACCTATATTGAACTTTATTTATTTGTAACCTCGTTGATTCTTTTAATTCAATAAAGTTTGCTGTTTGTATACATATAAATTATACATATACCATGAATTATGTATATGTATGTACATAGATTTACTAGGATTGAAATATTCATCCTTTAAAATAGTGTTATTATTATAACTCCAAGAAATAATTGAAAAAAAAAAGTAGTGACTCAAAGGAAATCTTGTTTGTATACTATTACTAAGAGTATAGCTGTTTTGGTTTCCATCTTTCTCAAAATAAAGTTAAATGACTCCATATGAACTCTGTGTCTCTGGATCATTTCCTTTGGAATGAAGCAATTACTCGTCACACAATTTTTCTAGCATATTAATGATTATGCAAGTATGAGAGAAACTAAGTCAACTAACTCTAAAAAAAAGAGAAATTTGTGTTCATATTCAAAATCGTCAATTCTTCATGTCCATCTTCCAGCTCAGTCAACAGTAAAAATGAATGTGAATGCTCTCCTCCTTTGCACAATTTGGGCTCTTGCTGATACTCCAACAGAGCTGCTTCTTCATGAAATCATTAGAAGGAGAGAGGAATTAGAGAAAGCACACAGTTCACCTCATTACAGGTTCCATAATCCTAAACACTAAGAAGGTCACTCTGAATCTGAAAGGAAGCTTACTAGGGTACAACTACTCTTTCTTTTATCTAGGGCAATATTAAAATTCCAAATATAAACACTTTAGAGTTGGCACTGAAGGAAATGGCACTAGTAAGGCTGAGCAAATTACCCGAGAAGCTGGATTCTATGCAGAAGAATGAAACATCAGGTCTGGAGGGAGACTCATCAATAAACAGATGACACAACCTTGCTTGTTGAAAGTGAGGAGGACTTGAAGCACTTGTTGCAGAAGATCAAGGAATTTAGCCTTTAGTATGGATTGCATCTCAATTGTTGTTGTTGTTGTTGTTGTTTTTATGTGCCGTCGAGTCGCTTGCGACTCATAGCGACCCTATGTACAACAGCCCTAAACTCCGCTCTGTCCTGTGCCAATCGCACTGTCTCTGACACTCCCATTCCAATTATCCCAGTCACTGAATCAATCCACCTCATAGAGGACCTTCCTCTCCTGCGCTGTCCCTCCACCCTCCCAAGCATCTCAATATCAAGAAAAAAAAAGATTTTTACCACTGGGATAATAGGCAGTGTCATGATGAATGGAGAGGAGTTTGAAACCGTCAACAGATCATCTTGCTTGGAGCCCTTGCTATGAGCAGTCAGGAAATAAAGAGATGTATTGCACTGGGAAAATCTGTAATTAGGGACCTTTTCAAATTATTGAGGTGTAGTGACGTCACTTTAGGGACTAAGGTGCATTATGCATCCAAGACCTGGACAATGACTATGGATGACAGAAAAAGAATTGGCATTTTTTTAGTTGTGATTTTGGAGAAGAGCACTAAATATCCCATAAAGGGCCAAGAGAACGAACAGGTATTTCTTGGAGACGGTGCAGCTGGAGTGCTCTTTGGGAGTGAGAATGATGAGGTTTCATCTCATATACTTTAGATATATTTCTAGGAGGTACTATTCCTTAAAAATAGACATGATGTTGGGAAGTATGGAGGGTTGGTGAAGGAAAGGAGGACCTTCAACCAGGTGGATTGACAGGGTGACTGTTGCAATGGTCTCTTTTGAGTCAGGAAGTGTGAGGCTGGTGCAGGACAGGATAGGTTCAAATAGTTTGTTCATAGGGTTGCTATAAGTTGTACATCACTTGATGGCACCTAACAACCACAAAAACGGCAAGAAGACAGGAATTTCAGCCCACCTTCTGTACTAATAGATAAAAAGCCAAATCCCTTAGTCTTTAAAAGCCTCATTTGTATTATCATCTGTAGAATAAGGTGGCTGTATGAAATGCCCTCTGAAGGTCCTTCTAGGTGAACTACATGGAACAGCCTAGAGATTTATGTATAAAAATTAACCAATGGAAGTGTTATGAGTTATTATATTCTGATCTTAAAATAATCATGAGGAATTGGTAGAATTAAGAGGAATTTATTTCCACTGTGTATGTATGTGGTCATATGAGTTAAGAACATGATTGACTCAATGTATCATTAAAAGCTATAAAAATTAAGTATTTGCATTTGACTAGCAATTTTTATTTAAATTCTAGTCAATCTATCATGCTACAGTTTTGGAAGAATATTAAATCATTAAATTTTAGGTACAAGCTAGATTATCTTATGTTATACCATATTTAATCTTCCTCACAAACTTTTTTATTTATTATCTACTCTTAAAGCAAAGAATACCAGAAGAATGTCTATCTGTGCTTCATTGACTATGCAAAGGCTTTTGACTGTGTGGATCACAACAGGCTGTGGCTGACAATGAGAAGAATGGGAATCCCAGAACATTTGACTGTGCTAATGCGAAACCTATACTTGGACCAAGAGGCAGTCGTCAGAACAGAGCAATGAGGCACTTGTTGTTGTTGTTGTTGTTGTTGTTGTTAAGCGCCTTCGAGTCACGACCCTATGAAGGAGAATCCTCGATGCTTGGGTGTCTTTCATCCTCTCTCCAGGTTCATAGAGTTTCCGGAGGCAAGCTATTATGGAAGTGGATGCCACTCCTCCTTCCAAGCTTGTTTTAATTGGGGAGCTCCACTCCAATCTCTGTCCGCATAATTCAGAAGAAGATGTGAAATAAGCGATCTCATTTCTGATACTAGATGAATTTTGGCTGGAGAATACCAGAAAGATATTAACCTGTGTCCTAACAACTGAACAAAATACACAACATGATGATATGTAGAGAATATATTAAAATTGTCACATATTTCATTTTACTTGGGTCTGCACTTAATGTTCAAGGAAGCCACAATTAAGAAATCAAATGCACTGGCCATATGTGGTATAAATTATCTATTTAAAGTAAGTGTTAAGGAACAAAGATAATACCTTGGGGACTAAAGTGGATCTCATATAAGCCATGGTATTCTCACTCACTCATATGCATACAGAGACTAGACAATGAATAAAGAAGACCAAAGAAGAACTGACACCCTTGATTCATGATGTTTGCAATGAGTATTGAATATATCATGAACTTTCAGAAGAGCAAATCTTTCTTTAAAAAAGTACAGCCAGGATGTTCCTTAGACGTGAGGCTGGAAAGCCTTGTTATCATGAACTTCGTACATGTTGACAGGCGAGACCAGTCTCTGGAGGACATGGTGCTCTGAAAAGTAGGTGGGGAGGGGGAATTGGGGGAGAGTAAACCCTCTACAAGATGAAATAACCACTGACCACACAATGGCCTCAAACACAGTAAGGATTTTGAGAATGGTGTAAGATCCAGCTGCATTTTGATGCACTGTGCATGCAGTTGCAAATAGTTTCAAGAGACTCAGGAAAAGTTGAAGTTGTTAAAGATGCAATTTTACATTAACCACCACCAAATAACAACAGGAGGCACTACATGGTTCAAAATCAAGAAGGGGTTCCATCAGGGATGTATTCTGTCTCCATACCTTTTCAATCTGTATGCAGAACAGATCATCTGAGATGCTGGGCTGTATGAGGAGGAATGTGACATCAGGATTGGTGGAAGAGTCATCAACAACCTGCGTTATGCAGATGACGCAAACCTGCTTGCTGGAACTGAGGAGGGCCTGAAGTGCTTGCTGCAGTAGGTCAAGGACTGCAGTCTTCAATATGGATTGAAGCTCAACATCAAGAAAACAAGATTCTCACCACTGGGCCAATTGGCAGCATCAGTATGGATGGTGAAGAGATGGAGATAGTTAATGTTAATGACAGTGACAGGGAAAGATATAAACAATGACTTATCTTTATATATGCTACTATACCCTGTCGTTGTCATTAACATTATCACAATCTCTACCATTTTAATATATACTAGTTCTAAGCATTGAGAAAATCCCTAGATGACACGGTCCCTAAATTTTGATGGTTTGAAACTTACCCTGCAATATAGCAAGAAAAAAAGGAAAAGTCCTAATAATCTGCTTCTGTTAAGATTACAGGTAAGAAAACTCTACTTTGTAATATATATGCTGTCTATGAGTTGAATTTAACTCAGTGGCAACTAACAATAACTACAGATAGTGAAAGAAAAAGAATATAATGAAGTTCATTTTATTTGAAGAATTTCATTTGAAGTATTCCATGAAATGTGTAATTGTGAACCTGTGCATAATAAATCATAGTTGATTCAGAAAGGAAAACTCTGTCAATCCTAAAACAAAACAAAACAAAACAAAACAAAACCCACAAAAAACAAACGAAGGGCAAAATTGTAACATAAAGTGAATCACTGTTGAAAAATTCCACCGAGGCACAGTTCTGGTAACCAGAAAAGGGGACTTTTTCAAAGTGCTCTCCAGAGCTTGGCTGTTTGATTATGTGTTATTATTTAATAATGTCCTTAACCTGTGGTTTTGGCAGTCTAATACTTTCTGTCCCAG